AAAAAAAAAAAAAAAAAAAAAAAAAGAAGTGATAAGAGCACCTCCTGGAATTCTTTGCCTGGATTTTCTAATTCCATCGTCCTGCAAAGATTTTCTGATTCGGATAAGAGCACTCAATGGGGGGAAGGAAAAACAAAAAGGAGCGCCAATTGAATGGAGTTCTTGCCTGCTGGATGTCTCCGTAACTATCGGTGGGGGGCTGTACCTGGACATGGCAAGTGACAGGTAGGCTGGAGATGATGCTGGAAATTGGGGGGGGGAGGCAGATGCATAAGACGAATGAGTGAGAGGAGACTCTTCTTCCCCCGAACACAACGCACCCTCATCATGATATGTTTGCAAGCGATTTTTGAGTCCGATACTGTGGGGATCAGGGTGCGTTATGTTCGAGGGAAGACGGTACGCGACACCGACATAGTAGAGGGCAAGGCGGACTGATCTGATTCACCTCTGTCGCAAGGGTTAGATCGGAAAGCGTTTCCTTCGGGAGGGACATCCGTGAAATTGGAACGATACCGAGACGGTAATTTAGCATGGGCCCTGCGCAAGGATGACACCCATAAATGGAGACATGATGGTCCACCGACCAAACCAAGAGGATTTAGAAGCGGCTGCCGCAACAAGCAATCACCGCGGGTCTGGTCCTTGGCCTCTACAACACCCTGGACTTTTAAAAGTTAAAAAAAAAAAAAACAAGAAAAAAGGAAAAAGCGTGTCTACAGGTCAGGAGATCAAATCCTCCGCTGACCACCAGTAGCCCAGGGGGTCTTAGGCCCCCTCTGGGCCCCCTCTGACGCAAATGCATATAGACCGGGCGCACCAATTCAGCCCCCATTCCTTAACTCCCTAAGACCGGGGAGGTACTGGTGGTTTAAAAATAGTATCAAGTTCATATTTTACATCTGCGGATAAACCACCAGTACCTCCAAGAGTGTGGCTGTTGGTAAACAGGCGTTGCCTTCAACACCTCCAGAGGTGCAAGAATGGCTGCCCCAATCTTTCCACCCCTTCCTCTGTTTTTCCCCGACGGCCTGGTTCCACCTACACCTGGGGCCAAGCCCCACCACCGTCTTCACCGGAAAAGAACGCCCCGGTCATTATGGCTGAATATAGACTGAAAGTTGCCCCAAATACCGCTACAATGACCAGGGGTTTGATTCGGGTGAAGACGGTAGCAGTGTTGAGTTTCCTCAACACCCGGATCTTTGAAGTGTTTGTGGAGATGTGCGGCTGAGGAAACTCAACGCAATTGTCTGCACCTCTCCAGGCACACGTCCAGATTCGGAGGAAACTCAAAGCAATTGTCTGCACATCTTTAGACACGCGTCCAGATTGGGGTGTTGAGGAAACTCTAGGGTGCCACTGTAGTGGGAAGTGGGCCCCGTGTAGTAAAACTACGTAGTAGTTCGACCATGTGACAACTCTGATGCCGGCGTCCTCACCCCAATAAAACACCCGGCCATTGTCACTGTATCTAGCCTGACAGTTGCCTCAGATTCCTTTATAATCATATAATGACCGGGCGTTCTATTATTTGGGTGAAGGTGGTAGGGATTCTATTTGGGTGAAGATGGTAGGCAACAGAAATGGGAGTCGTAGATGCTCCCTTTTTTTTCCTTAGTAGATGCTCCCTGAACCTACAGGCTTTCCTTTTCCTTTTTCTTTCTCTTTCTCTTTCTCTTTCTCTTTTTCTTTCTCTTTTCGGAAAATTGCATCTGTACCCCTTTTAAAGATGGGAATACGGGCTATACCCAGTCCCAGGCCTAACTTGCATCTATAACTCGAGGCCGTTCAACTTTGCATGTTACCCAATTGGCCCTTGTGCAAAATTGTAGGCATACCCAGTCCTGCAGGCTCTCGGTTGGGGACCACGAAATTATGCGCATGCCCAGGAACAGGCTGGCAAAACTGCGGGTGTATCGATCCCTACAACGGGACCGCTGAACATGGCAGCAGCGGGGTGGAGAACGGTGCCCGCACATATCTGATCATCGTCAGCGACATGGGAGTGATGCCGCATGTGGATGTGGTGGAATTCGGGGCTGACAACAACAACGGCGTGGGCGGCAACGACGATGATGGCGGCAGGGATTACCATGACAACAGTCACAACAACGACAACAATAACAACGTTGACAACAACAACAACAGCGGTGATGGCGGCAGCGACGATTACGGCGCCAGCGACGACCCCGGCAGCAGCAGGGCAGAGAGCATCAGCATGATGGGAGAGATGCTGCATGCTGACGTGGAGGGGAGTGGGCTGAAGTTAGGAGTGGGATAGTCGTGTGTTGGGACTGGGATAGTAGCTGTTGATTGGTGTTGTCCGGCCCGCAATATCAATCGACATCGGAGTGCTGATTGCCCCGCACACATACATTACATTTAGGTTAGGGTTTCGTGGGTTGCTGTACATTTACAGAGATAGAGTGGATTAGATGCATACGGTTATAGGGACGCTGGACCCGATTTCCAGCAGATACACTCACATCTCTGTACATAGGGTTTCGTGTTGAAATGATTGATTGATATAGAACACATCCATCATATGTGCCACAT